CATAACCATAAAGTAATCAGGAGAAGTAGCACACAGGAATTTAGTATAGGCTTACAGTGGAGAGAGAATAATTATTTTAAACATGTTTGTGCATGTAGATTTTCTCTAACTTCCTGTAGCTCCTATAATAATAGTATTAACAATGGTGGTTTTATTGTGCTGTCCTTGCTGCAGGGGCCATTTATTCCACACCAGAACAGTGGGTCCTGGGCAAAGCCTGTCATTGCTTAGAGCCCACTTAACGACCTGGCCAGGCTCAGCGGGATGCGAATCGACAGGCCCATTGTGTAGCTTTCCAGAATCCTGCCTCTGGCCTCATTAAGTAGATGAAAGTGACACTCTACGAGGGCTGCAAATTAGCAGTGGCCTTCAAGCCACTACTGTGGTTGTCTGGCCACTTAAAAAATGATCATACAGTCTTGCTTGCTGGGCCAGAAGCAAATGCAGGTGAGACTCCTGCGCCTGCTGAGAGCAGAGTGACTGCTCCGGAGGCCGTTCAGCGAAGCCTGGTGGCAGCGGCAGAAGGGAAAATTCTCTGTTAGAGTGAAAGAAATCTTTGTGTGGTGGAAAAGCCCTAATGTTTTTACTTTCATGCTAGGGTTCAGAGACACCCTTTTGAAAGGATAGCCACTCCTTTCCAAGTGTACAGCTGGACGGCTCCGCAAGCAGAACACGCTATGGACTGTGTCCGGGCAGAAGATGCTTACACGTCTAGACTGGGCTATGAAGAGCACATACCTGGACAGGTATCGGTCTTGCTTTGTCTGAGAATGCTGGCGATAGCGCTGGCTATTGCACTGGGAACCACTAGCTTTTGCCAGGAAGCAGAGCTCCAGTATTTGTGGAAGGGTCTTGCTTATCAAGGGTGAGTCTGCATGAGTTCAGTGAGAATGGGTTGAGCTTGTTCTCGGACTTGTCCTTGAAGTGCAGAGAGCTGTGCTGCTCAGAGTGCAACTTTCCTGAGCACATGTAAAAGGTCTGAGGAACAGTTTCTGCACAAGTATCTGCAAGTCTTGTGTCCCTACTCCAAACATCTGATTAGTGTCACTGAACTGCACAGAAAGCTCCTCTCTATCCAGGTCAGTCTGGGCACAGCTAGTTGCAATTCCAGATGTTTCAGGTGCAGCCTCGTAGCGTGAAGCCTCCCAGGCCCTGGAGTGCTGCAGGCCTGCGGAGGCTGCGCGCGGGTCTGTGGCCTGATCGCGTCAGGGCGCTGCACCGTGTTGCTCCCCAGCTGCCAGTCTAGTACTTCAGTGAAACTGCACTGTGTCATGTGGCCCAGTGTAAAATATACCCCAAATTACCACTGAATAGACACCGCTCTCTCTGACCACTCCTGCTGTTAGTTCACTTCCTCTGAATATCCTGTCAGCCTAAAATTCCCCCCACCTTTCCCTTCTCTCAAACTGCCTTGTAAACCAGAAAACACTGATTTCCCAGCCCCTGCCTACACAATGCATTGCTCCCACAAGGCTTTGACTCTTTCAGACCAGAGACTGGAATGAGGAGCTGCAGACTACACGAGAGCTACCACGCAAGAACCTGCCAGAGAGGCTGCTGAGAGAACGAGCCATTTTCAAGGTAACTTTGGGATGTGCAGGCAACTCTCAACCCCTGTTCATAGCTTAGCGGGACTCTTTGCCTGGGCCTACCCCTCAGAAACTGCAAGGAGAGGTTCTTTGAGCTAAGGGGCCTTCCGTGACAGCCTTCTGCTGTCTGCCCCTTGCAGAAGAGGGGGCTCCTCGACCCGTATCTCCCTGCTAACCATGATGCAGGCTTCCCTTAGGCCTGTGTCATTCTGTTTGACCCAGTCCTCCTCTGAGTGGGTGGGAGGTGTGGGAAGGATGGACATGTGTGAGCCTAAAGCCTCTTCTGTAGAGAGTTAATGAGCAGAGCTATGGTGGGCCCTCGTGTTCTGGGTCCTGCAGCAAGTGTGAGTTACTAATGAGGCTTGCAAAGTAAAAGGCAGGTGACCTGCCTGCTGGAGGCCCCTCGGCGGGTGGGCAGTGAGGGAGGTTGCAGAGAGCTTGTGAGCAGGGTGCTGGGAGCACGCAAGCCCTTCCTTACCCGGCTTTCTCTTCACCCACTGCAGGTCCACAGTGACTTCACTGCAGCAGCAACGAGAGGTGCCATGGCTGTCATTGATGGCAACGTCATGGCTATCAATCCCAGCGAGGAGACCAAGATGCAAATGTTCATCTGGAACAACATCTTTTTCAGCCTGGGCTTTGATGTCCGTGACCACTACAAGGACTTTGGAGGAGATGTCGCTGCTTATGTGGCTCCTACCAATGACCTCAATGGTGTGCGGACCTATAATGCTGTGGATGTAGAAGGGCTGTACACGCTGGGGACTGTAGTAGTGGATTACAGAGGTTACAGGGTGACAGCTCAGTCTATTATTCCTGGGATCTTGGAACGGGAGCAGGAGCAGAGCGTCATCTATGGGTCAATAGACTTTGGGAAGACAGTTGTCTCGCATCCCAAGTACTTGGAGCTGCTGGAGAAGACCAGCAGGCCACTTAAGATCCAGAAGCACAAGGTCCTGAACGACAAGAACGAGGAAGTGGAACTGTGCTCCTCGGTGGAGTGCAAAGGCATCATCGGCAACGATGGGCGTCACTACATCCTGGACCTGCTCCGCACTTTCCCTCCAGATCTGAACTTCCTGCCTGTTGAAGGGGAGGAAATGCCAGAAGAATGTAAGAAAATGGGGTTCCCCAAGCAGCACAGGCACAAGCTTTGCTGTCTGCGGCAAGAGCTTGTTGATGCCTTTGTAGAGCACAGGTGAGCCGAGCTCCCCTCTCCTCCACACGCGCGGCGCTAACGGTCCACATCAGGACCACGCTGCCGTGCGCAGGGACGTGGCCACAGAGCTCCTAGAATAGTGTGGCTAATGCCCTTAACCCTGCAGGTGCAATTATAGCAACTTAATGACTAGTGGGGATTAAAACAGTGGGGATTCCGACGGGGTAGGGATGCCGGGCAGAGACAGCTCTGCTTTTTAGTCTCCCAAGTCTTTCAGTGTGCACATTATTTTGGGTAACTTCCTGTCTAAGGTTTTAGAATTTCTTGTTTCTCTGTAGGTATCCTGTGCTCCTGATGTCTAGGGAATAGGAAGGATCTAGAGTCCTCTTCCGGGCTCTTGATGTCCTGGGTGCAGCGTTTTTGTCCGAGGTGCCCCGGCCTCTGCCCGCACCGTCCGAGGCGGCAGCGCCACTCCGTGCCGGAGCGCTGCTCGGTGCCGGGGCTGGCGCTCCCGGGATCCCGCTCATCAACGGGTGAGCAGTTTTGTTTTGTTTTTTTAATCTTTGCTACTTTATGGACTGATGTTGGAATGTCGGGCACTGCTTTGAGGTGGCAGAGCTCATGAACGCAGGGTTTATGTCCTGCCTTTGCCCAGGAGCCCTGGATGCTCCTGACTTTATCGCTTCCTCCTCTCTAGAGAAGTGTTGCTCCTCTCGGGTCCTCCTATGGATGCTGTTTCCTTACTGAACTCCTCTTTTCCTGTAGATACCTCTTATTCATGAAGCTGGCAGCGCTGCAGCTGATGCAGCAGAAAGCCAACAAGCAGGAGAGCTCGGGTGCCTTGGAAAATGGCGCCTCTCCAGAGAATGGGACCGCAGACAGCGAGAAGTCTGAGTCGGATGATGGTAAAATAGAGGATAACGTGACTGGACTGGAGCAGGTTAAGGAGCTTGCTGAGACCATTGCATCTGATGACGGCGCAGGTACTTAATCCTCTGCGTGGGGCTCCTGCACTAGCTGGGGATCTGCCGCTCACAGGCAGCGGGCCAGACGGAGGGGTCAGACAGGACAAGCCCTGGCTTCTTCAGTTAACGCTCGTTAGCCCTTGTGAGAGCTGTTCACACGCCAAGAACCCCATCTGTCCCGCTGTCCCGGGGCAGGCTGGGTCAGCGGGCTCGGTGTCCCTGGAACCCTGCAAACCCGTTAGCGCTGACAGGAGCGGAGCGTGGCCGGCAAAGCGGCTCCGGAGCCCTCGGAGACGGCGCGCGGGCCTGGCGGGGCCTGGCGCCCCGGGGGCCGCGCGGCGCTGGGCGGCCGCGTCGGGCGAGAGGCCGCCTGGGCGTTCCACGTGGGCTGAGGGCCTTGTGCAGACTGTGCATTCTGCATCTACCTCGTTCCCAAATACCTTACTGCTGATGGTGCGCTGGGTTCCAGCAGCTTGTGCCACTATCACTACTCTAAATAACAAAACTCTTCTCTTTAATACCTCGGCTTGCCATTTTTCTAAAATCCACCTTTATTCTCTTTTCCTTCCTGCTCCAGTGGATCCCAAAAGCAGAGAAGTGATTCGAAATGCTTGCAAGGCTGTAGGCTCCATCAGTGATGCATCATTTGACATTCGGTTTAACCCGGATATTTTCTCACCAGGTACGTGCACAGAGAAGTGGGTTTCGTCCTCCTTTAGAGGATTGCCAGACAAATCTGTGTTCCATAGCCAGGAATAATGCTGGCTCCTGGCTAGCTGGGCGTGCTGCAGGATTCTCCAAGGAGCACAAAAATACATAAGAGGGAAAGAAGTATAATTGATTGCAATGCTGAAAGTGCCAAGTGCAGCTGTCTCCCACCGTGACACTCGGGGGAGGTCTGCAGGGCACTGCCAAGAATCTTCTATGTCTTCTCCAGCATCCCAGCTGCTGGACCACATGAGAAGAGGGGGAGCCATTAAATTTGGTCCTAACGTTTTCTGTGTAAACAACTACAATAGCTGTAGTTGGACAACCGATTTTGGATCCGCAGGACAGGGTTTGTTCTAGCAACATCAAGGAGAGTAGGTCATGGTGCCCTTTCAAATTTACACATCAGTTGCAGGCATTGTATGTAGCTTTCTGTGACCAGAATCACCATCTTGATTTGGAAATAGAATACATCTGCTCAGTGTTTGCAGGAGTTAACAAAGGCTGTATACATGCAAATTGCAGGAGAATGGTTGTGTAGTTTTATTTAGCTGGGAATAAACATGTCAGAAAGTGCATGTGATTTGAACACCCAGTCATCCTCTAAGGTTGGTGTAAGGATTACTGCTTTGGTACTTACTATGCTACCAGAGCTTACAACTCTGTATTAATTTTGTGTGTGCCAAACCAAAAGGCTTTGAGCTTCCAGCACTTGCAGTATTTGCTGGCACATCTGCTGAAATGTGCCCATTCCTGTCTAGCCAGTTGCCTCTCTGCACTCTGAGTGGCGTACACAGTACTTGGCAATAGATAGGATGGACCAGATAAAGAAGAGCAGAACTCCTGCCTTTAAAGGTGGTGTGAAGAAAGAGTGAGCATGAAGCAGCACAGCCACTACGCAAGCAGTGCAGGAAAGGTTTGTCCCATTGAAGCATGCTGCAGAGCAGATGGCTCTTGAAGAAGTCTCTCTAATTCCAGGGAGGTAGAATCACTTTAGCTTCTTACCTTGACTTGGTGTTTGACTTCTGTACGTGAGGTTTTTTTCCCCAAGTTACATGTTTTATATTTTCCAATTTCTTGATCTTAGGTGTTCGCTTTCCTGAGTCTAGCAAAGAAGAAGTGCAGGATCAGAAGCAGTTACTGAAGGATGCTGCTGCGTTCCTACTGTCATGCCAGATTCCAGGTTTGGTAAGGAACTGCCAACCAGCACTCCTGTCCTCTCTGAAGGCTTCCCTCCAGTCTGGCCACGCGAAGGGCAAGCGTTGATGAGGTCTTACAGTGCTTCCTCCTCCCGAGCAGAGGCTGTGCCCTCCCGCTGGCACAGGCGGTGAAGTACACGGAGTGGTGTCACCATCTCTGATTCGGGCAGAGGGGTTTTCTGTTTTACATCATGGAGTGAGGTGGAAAAATAATGCCAACCAACAATATCTATCGTTATAGTTTTTATACATGTATGTGTATCCCTAGTAATTAACAGATTTCTCAAGAGTTGAGATCAGTAAAGAATGTGCAAGTCACCCTCCTTTGCCCCGGGCATCCTGCACAGCTCATTGTATTATCTGGTCCTGGCTGAATCAATTATGATTAATAATTCTGGAGTAAAATGGTAAATTGCTCTTGCTAATATCCTGTTCAAACATTCCCTCTGCGAGTCTTTAGCATTTGAGATGCATATCCATTCCCCTGCTAGATAAGAAACATCAGCTGCCCCCTTCTAAGCTGTCTCTAAAGTGACTGCTAACGTGCACATTACAGCTGACACTGCTAGCAAGGAGGGTGGAGCTGGTGCTCTTTACTCCAAGAAGTCTGGCAATTCTTAGTCTTAACTAGAGAGAAGCAAAACCCTCCTTGCCAGATAGGTTTTTTCTAAAGTCTACCTCTCTGTGAATTCACCATGAGTCCACTGTTTCTGTACAATAGTTTTTAAGATTGACTGTTCAGTCTTAATTGTTATAGGGAATGAATCAGAAAAGGGCTGGACTTATTTTGCAAGTTATTGCATACATGAGTCTCTAAATGCAAAGTGCTGTGCAAGCGTGTGCTTGAGGGCAAGCTGCAGACTAGCACGGGGCTGCTGTAAGCAGGCAGCTCTCCCTGCTCTCTATCGGGAAGTAACCGCTGTTAGTGACTCTATCAGGGTTGCAACACAACTTAAACGCAGTGGCGTTTCCCCTTATCAGCACAGTGTGTACAGCTCTGTAGGCTGCTAGTTGGGAGTGTGTTTTTAGTTAGAGACTGTAAGGTCCTTAAGAAGACAGAGGCTGCCAGTTCCCTGCAAGCGTTCCTTCCTTCGAGCCTGCTCTCTGTTAGCCCAAGTTTGCATCTCCTCTGCAGGTCAAGGACTGCCTGGATCACACTGTGCTCCCGATGGATGGGGCTACCTTGGCAGAGGCCATGCACCAGCGGGGCATCAACATGCGCTACCTGGGCAAAGTGATCAGCTTCATCGCCAAGACTCCTGGCCATGCTCAGCTGGATCACATTTATGTAAGCATCACCCTTAGCTTCAGACTGTCACTCAGAATTGTCTCTGAATCATTGTTCTGCATAGATCCCAGCTTAGCTAATTGTTTCCTCTACGTAAAAATAAGCAGCTTCAAGAAGGAGGAGGAGGAGAAGGAACTCTAAGTAGCAAATACAAAATTTCACTCCCAGTCCTTAGTGTTTTTCATTATATTAGGGAGTCCAAGTGTCCTTTGGGATATCAAAGTGTTTTAGGGGTTCCCAAGCTCTTCTGACATGAAGAGCACTGTCAAATAAAGTACGACGCTGGTGATGGGCAGGATCCTCTGCAAATGTTGCTCAAAGTCCATTTCAAAAGCAAAGTGTATCTGTCACTGATGTTATTGACTTACTCTTGGCTTCTTTCTCCCTTGCATAGAAAATAGGAATCAGTGAATTGATCACTCGATCAGCGAAGCACATCTTCAAGACATACCTGCAGGTAGGAGCTGCGGTCTGGCCGCTGGCCCGGTGCCTGCTCTCGCGCCCCGGTGGCTGTTGAGTCTGTCCTCTTGTTAAGACAGCTTGTGGGCACTGCCTAGGAACCCAACTGCAGTCCCATTGCAACTACAGCAGTGCAGACCTAGGTGTGAGGGAAAACGGGTTCCCACTTGAAGATCACTTTCCCAGAGAATACGCCTTCATACTTTGCTTCCCCAGATTCTCAATCATTGTGTTTAAATCTTCTAGAAATGAAATCACAGCTTGCTTTCCTTGTAATACTTTTTCCTCTTAACGAGGAAGCTTCCTGAGAAGCTCTTTTATAGCGTGACCATCCGGGCATCTGTATACTTGCATGCATTGAGCACAGTAAATGCCCAGTGTGGTGCCTGTGCATCTTGCCCAGCGCAGCACACCCTGCCTCACTTGCTGTGTCTCCCTCCTGGTGATTCCCGGTTCCTGGGGGCACGGGGGTTGTGTGAGGCTCAGTCAGAGCAGCGCCTGTTCGATGGAGGGTGTCATCCTTGACGGATTTCTGTGTCTTGCTGCAGGGTGTGGAGCTGTCGGGTTTATCAGCAGCCATCAGCCACTTCCTCAATTGCTTTCTAAGCTCCTTTCCAAACCCCATTGCCCATCTTCCAGCTGATGAGCTGGTCTCCAAGAAGAAGAATAAGAAAAGGAAAAACAGGAACCTTGGAAATGCTGATAACACTGCGTGGGCCAGCATGACCCCTCAGGAGCTTTGGAAGAATATTTGTTCGGAAGCAAAGAACTACTTTGATTTTGATCTTGAATGGTAAGGAGAACAAATGACTCTTGTACATGAACTCGCACCAAACTTCTGTAGCTTTTATTGTTCTGAGGCAGGATGTGCCCTTTAGGTTTGTTTTCTGTTTAAAAGAAATTTTTTTACTCTTCAGGGAATGTTACACATTTAAAATGGAAAGAAATCAGGCAAGGAGCAGAAGGGGGATGTGTAGGGAGATCTGAATGAGGATGAAACTCGGGAGGGAAAGCAGCTAGGAAAGCTGAACAAGGAGGCTGTATGGATGTGCAGTTCTGTAAACTGTAACAGACCATTAGCATGGGATACTGCTTTCTAGCACATGGCTATAGCTTGCTAGCTATAGCTAGTGCATAGTTGCAGAGAGACCTGTGCTTCAAACAGGCCGTGGAGAAGGGATGTGGTTGTGAGCTCACCGTGTGCTTTTGCAGTGAGAATGCTGACCAAGCAGCTGAAGTATATAATCTACAGAAAATCACCCTCCTTCGTGAAATCTCCCTCAAAACTGGAGTCCAAGTAAGATCTGCATCTCTTCTCCCTCTGCATCATGGGTCTGTATTGAGGAACTTGAAGATGAAGTGCTGTTTGTTCAAAGCTTTGCAGGGCACAGCCTTTCAGAAGGGCAGTGCCTGCACCAAGGTCTTCCTGGGGCATTAATGCTGGGATACAGGTGTCTCCTGCCAGGGTTTCTAGTGAAGTGCCCATAGAGGGTGGCTTATGGTGCATGTCTCTGGGAAGATTTGTGCGCCCCGGTACAGCTCCCGTGCCTGTTCTGTCTGACAAACCAGCCTGCTGTGTCTAGTGCTCGTGCACAGGCACCCACAGCCCCGCTTCCTCTGCGCTGTCCCCAGTAGTGACACAGGAAGGTGCGGGCTGTGAAGCCAGGAGCAGAATTAAAGGCTCCTTTTCCCCTCTGTTCCTGATAAGGACCTATGGAGGTCGTGACTGTGACTGCTCTTTTTGGTTCCTGCAGATACTGCTGAAAGAGTACAACTTCGACAACCGGCACAAACCCACCTTCACAGAAGAGGATATTCTCAACATCTTCCCTGTAGTGAAGCACGTAAACCCCAAAGCCTCAGATGCTTTCCACTTCTTCCAGAGCGGGCAAGCAAAAGTTCAGCAAGGTACAGACCCGAAATGCTCTTGGCTCTTGAGGTCAAGGGGCTGCTTTGAGCAGGGGGTATGTGGCCTCCTGCCCGTCCGGTGTAGCCCTGCCCAGCTAGTGGAGAGAAGTGGCATCTCCAAGACAGGTCTGCTGTAAAGTCATCAGCTATGAACAAGGATGGATATAGGAGAGTTGTTTTCTTTTTTTTTTTTTTTCTTCCCAAGTTTTAGTCCTTATACAAGGCAGTGACCTGAAGCTACTTATCCCACTGCTGTTTTCTTGAGCCATATAGATTTCACTGCATGCATAACACATTACCCTGTAGCATTAGGGGTAATTATTCTTGTGGCTGAAGACTTCGGTGAAGCAAATCTGCTGAATTTTTTGATGGTAATTTCCTTCTCAGGAGGTCGCAAGTGAATGCTTAACAAAGTCTAATTTTCTTGGTGTGGGTTTTCTTTTTTTTTTTCCCCCTCAGGTTTCTTGAAGGAGGGCTGTGAGCTCATCAATGAAGCCTTAAACTTGTTTAATAATGTGTATGGTGCTATGCATGTAGAAATCTGTGCCTGCCTGAGGCTGCTAGCTCGTCTCAACTATATCATGGGAGACTATTCAGAGGTAGGCAAGCACACACAAGGGCTCCGTTTGGTCCTTCAGTCCTTTCCCCTGTGCTCCCTTGTTCATGTGCATGGCTTCTGCATGACTTGCCCCTTGGGTCTTCTGTTCTGTTTAGGCCTTAAGTAATCAGCAGAAAGCGGTGCTAATGAGTGAGAGGGTCCTGGGTATTGAACATCCCAACACGATTCAAGAATATGTAAGTACACGGTGCTGGGGGAGCAGCAGCATCTCATGGATGCACCTGGCATCTGCAAGCCTGAATTGATGTCTGAACCTAGCAAATACCTGCAGTTCTCCTTCCTTTTTAGCATTCTTCCCAGAAGCCTCTGTTTTTATCATAAGCTCACAATTTTTCTCTGAATGCCCATGGTATCCAGGTGACTGCTTTATTAGGAATATGTGAAGCCACCAGAGTGTGTGGTCAAAAGAGCTTCTGCAAGCCTGAGACTTTGTGGGTTCTTAGGAGTTAAGGAAATGGTTTCAAGTATGGGTTTTAATAGTGTATTTGAAAGAAGAGCCCAGATAGACAATCAGATATGTACAGAACAACTTTGAAATATTCCTGGAGGTGTCTAAGAAACACTGAAATGAAATATTTCAACAGTTTCTCAATACTCTATCTTGTGTAGATACCTCAGTAAAGCTGTAAAATAATTAACGGGTTAGTATAGTTTCTGAGCAGTTGAAATCCTTTATCACATTAAAGAAAGTTGTGGGTGGTGTGGGTTTTTTTTTTTGTTTGTTTGTTTTTTGTGAGACTGTGGGAGTGAAATGGAGAGATCACCTGGCTCTAGAAAAGTGGTGAACAGCATTAATGCTTGGTTATTTCTTATGTTATAGATGCACCTTGCTCTGTACTGCTTTGCAAACAGCCAGCTCTCTACAGCATTAAACTTACTGTACCGTGCACGCTACCTCATGCTGTTGGTGTTCGGGGAAGATCACCCAGAAATGGCGCTCTTAGATGTAAGTAAGATGTTGAAGTCCTCAGGAAGCCTCTTGGCCTTATCAGAGAGCTGTTTAAAACATCCTCATAGGCATTGCTCTCTTCCTTGTGTTTGTTACCACTTAGTACCATCATAAGAATGGGAAAATGGAGTTTATAACTATTCAGCTAGGAAGGCCAGCAGCCTTCTGTGGCCAGACTGGTGCACTGGGACATGAGTCCTGTAATCCTCAAGGGGAGTCCTGCATTCAGCCAGGTCTTGGTTCCCTGCTGTTCCTTACCTGTGTCCTGCCTGTTTCGTGTGCTCTGAACTGCAAAGGGGGAGCCTCGTCTCCTGCCGTGTGCCAGGCTGTGGAGACGCCTTTCTGCAGGCACCTCCAGGCCTCACCTGAAGCTCTAGGCAGCCTTTCCCTGCAGTGAAATACCTGCCAGTGGTCTTGTTTACAAAGCCACAGATGCTGGATTGCTAGTTGGATTTTGCCTTTCTGAATGCCTGTTTGCCTTTTCTTGTGCGGTGGCTCCCTGCAGAACAACATCGGCTTGGTGCTCCATGGAGTTATGGAGTACGACCTGTCTCTCCGGTTCCTGGAGAATGCCCTGGCCATCAGCTCCAAGTATCACGGCTCCAAGTCCTTGAAAGTTGCACTAAGGTGAGGCAGGGCAGAGCGCTGGGTTGGGGCACGGGGCCGCTGGAGAGCGAATTCATTCAGCCTTTGCTCACGTGGGAGGGCTCCGCTCTGGCCGTGTCCGGCCGTATCCTCGGGACTTGGGGACTGTGCCTGGTCCCGGCCGCAGTGCCAGGCTCCTTGGCTGCATGTGTTCAAGGGGCCCTAGAAAGGTCTGGTGCCAGTCGGGCCTGAGCATCCAGCTTGCTGGGAAGGATGGAGATCCCTTGCTTCCTTGTAACACTGTTTGCCCCAAAACATGACAAAATGACCCTGGTCCTTGTGGACCACTGGTAGAAAAATGCACATAATCAATCTAGGAGCCTGGGGAGATAGATAGGGAACGTCTGTATTGGTTTTGGCCCTCAGGGATGTGTCTTTGAGGTGCATATCATTTGTGCTTTATTATTACGGGCCTATGTTCGAGTTAAGATACTGAGCAGCTCCGTGGTGTTTCCAAGGGAGCGGTGAGTGGTCGGCACCTTTAGCATCAGCTCCAAGTACCCAGTGCTCGTCAGGGCTGTACGGCCTGTCCTTGAATGCAAAACTGGCTCACAAACAACCACAGCAGCCCCCTCCTAATTACTACTGCCACGTTGTCACCCATCTGTTCTTTGTCAGAGTGAAAATAAGTCTTACTAGGCACACCTGAGAGTCCCATTTGTTTCCAAGGAGCTGATTGATTTGCCTTCTGCAAAAAGCATCTCCTTCCCTCTGTAGCATTAGGAGACTTGATGAGATCCAGCACCTTCCATGGAGTAATGTTGCCAAAAATAGAAATCTTTGTTCATTCCAAAACCATTAAAGATGCAAAATCTAAGTCAAATCAATGCTCCTGCCTGGAGAAACACCAGGTGACTTGGATCCCGGCTTTGTCACTCTTGCTAGTTGTTCCTGTAGCAAAAGGTTTATGACTTTTGGCTGAACTAATCAAGTTATTCAGGCGTTTGCTTTCCAAGAAACTAAAAACCCTTTTCCTCTGGGAATGGCTCGTGGCTGCCTGCTTCTCTCCCACTTAACAAGCGGAGGCTGCGGGAATGTTCCTGTGGACGGGCTGCAGCCGCTCAGTGTTGCACTGGTGCCTTCATTCCTGCAGCACCCAGAAAATGTGGTCGGCTGTCGAAACCCCCAGTTTATCTCTTCCATAGATCATTTATTGTTATTTCATAAAAGCCAAGTCCAAATCATTGTAGTATATTAATCGCAAAATGGGAAGTGGAAGGTACTGCCAATATACTGCATTCAGAGTCCAGTATTGGTGCGAGTAGTGGGATTTCCAGACTCCGTTCTGCTAAAACTGTGTTCTGTGTAATGGAGAAATGTGTCTGCTCTCATCACGGTCCCTCTCCTCGCCCTTGCAGTCATCACTTGGTCGCCCGAGTGTACGAGAGCAAAGCAGAATTCCGCTCGGCTCTGCAGCACGAGAAGGAAGGCTACACGATCTACAAAAACCAGGTGACGCGCGGGCTGCTCGCGTTTGTCTTGGCGCTTTCTGGTGAGAAGTGAACGCTGCCATCGCAAAATAAGCACACAGCTTACAGCTCAAGGAGGCAGAATTGCTGCCCTGTGGCATAAGTGACAGGTTTTTTTACACCAAAGCAGTTTTTGAATGGAGTTTGTCTGCTCTTGCTGTGCCCTTGTCATGGGACAGAAGCTTCTGCTGGGGGCTCAGCCCTGGGGGGAGCACGAGACACTTCTGCCCTGAAAGGCAGCACGTTCTGGCAGGGCACTAAAGAGCTGGGGTTTCCTTTCCTGTTTTTCGCCACCTGCGTCAAACGCAGAGCGAAGCCAGGGCAGAGGCTGGGCTGCTCCGAGAAGCAGCGCCCGCCGCGCGCAGCCCTCGCGCTGCCCGGACTTGCCCGCGACGGCCCGGCCGTGGCCGCGGCGTGCGGAGGGAGCGCAGCGGCCCCGCGACGTGCTCCTGCCTGACGGAAACGTGTGACTGGCAGCGAGGCTCCCGCAGCAGCAGGGGTGGGGTTGGTGGTTGCTTCTGTTTGTTTGTTTTATTAATGTCAAGGCAGGTAAAATCCAGTTCCAATAGGTTTCTCTGAGGATGTTAAAGCAGCAGCAACTAGGAGCGCACACGGGTTTGGGTCCTCTCCTGACCTGTAAAGTGACTTCTGCTCTTTTCTGATTAGCTTGGAGAACACCATGAAAAGACCAAAGAGAGCTCCGAGTACTTGAAATACCTGACTCAGCAAGCAGTCGCTCTGCAACGCACAATGAACGAGATCTACAAGAATGGATCCAACGCGAACATTATGCCACTGAAGGTAACCTCGTGCTTTGAGAGCCATTGAGAGCACTTGTTGCGGTGGCAGAGGTTGTGGTCACCTGTAACAAGAGAGCACACACGTGTCAGTGTGCAGACTCGGGCCGGTGCAGGAAACGGGGACAGCCACAACAGCAGCTGCAGCCACCTCGCAGGCAGGAGGTTCCTGCAAGGACAGGGGCTCAGACACACACAGGGAGCCTTTGCTCTCTGGGCCTTTGAATGTCCCGGGCTCCAGCTCTTTCTCCTGAGCTCAAGCAGCCGATGGTGCTGCGGGACAGCTAGAGAAAGGGGGCGACTGAGCGGGCAGCCGCTCTGCCGGCCC